CGAGACATATTTTACGAGGAAGGAAGCAATCTACCGTTTACTAGTGTTATACAACATAGGATTAGAACTCAGACAGATTCGCCAATTTATACCAAACTTTATAGGTACCCGGTTGTGCATCGTGCCGAAGTACACAGACAAATAAACGAGATGTTAGTGCAGAAAATAATTGTTCCGAGCAACAGTCCTTATARTTCGCCTCTATGGGTCGTACCAAAGAAARTCGACAACGGTGGCGAGCAAAAGTGGCGAATTGTAATAGACTACAGGAAGCTAAACGAACAGACGATGGACGACAAGTTTCCAATTCCGAATATGCAAGACATATTCGACAAATTGGGAAAGTGTAACTATTTTAGCACAATCGACCTTGCTAAAGGCTTCCACCAGATCGAAGTACATCCAGACGATAGATCCAAGACGGCATTTTCGACAGCAAGTGGCCACTACGAGTTTAATCGTATGCCCTTTGGGCTAAAAACAGCTCCCGCGACTTTCGAAAGACTAATACATAAATCATGTTTTACGAGATTATGTCAATAAAATTTGCGTCGTTTACTTGGACGATACTACTACCTTTACAGAACATATTGACTATATAACGAAAATTTTTAAGAAACTAAGAGAAGCAAATTTGAGAATTCAAGGCGAAAAGTGTCACTTTGCAGCATTTGCAACGACATTTTTAGGCCATGTTGTTTCAGTTGACGGCATCAGACCGGATACAGCGATCGCAGCGATGCCACCACCATCCAACGCGAAAGAAATTAAACAATTCTTGGGTATCACAGGGTATTATCGGAAATTTATACGTGATTATGCAAAGGTTGCCTATCCAATGGTTCGATATTTAAAAAAGGATTGCGTTGTTGACACTAAAGACAGTGAATTTTTAAACTCTTTCGAAACATTGAAGAAGTTACAAGTGAACCAGTTTTACAATCACCGGATTTTAATACAAAATTTACATTAACAACCGATGCATCTCAGTTTGCCATCGGGTCTGTGCTTAGCCAAAGCGGCCATCCAATTTCCTTTGCATCACGTACTTTATCAGACCATGASATACGCTATTCGACTATAGAAAAAGAAATGCTTGCTRTTGTGTGGTCTGTAAAACATTTTCGAACCTATCTATACGGTCGCAAGTTTACAATTCAAGCCGATCACAAACCTTTGACGTGGTTAAACAATCTCAAAGAGCCTAACATGAAGTTACAAAGATGGAAAATTCTTCTTAACGAGTACGATTTTGACATAACCTATATAAAAGGTAAAGACAACACGGTAGCGGATAGCTTAAGCAGATACGTAAAGAATGAGKATTGCAAAACAGCAATAGTATTTAATAACGAAACTATCCAAAACAATAATAGTGAAGAACAATTAGAGACATGGTCCACGGACGGAACGGTTCACAGTGCGCACAAAAATAATTTAAAATACATTTTTTTACAAAATTGTACACAATAAGTGTCAATCACATATTTTTGTAACAGAGAAGTCAAATTTAAAAGAAATAATGCGAAAAGTATTGTTAGAGAATCGATTAATGTGCATTTTTTGTGAGAACGACGAACTTTTTCTTAAATTTCAAAACATTTATACTCAGAATTTTCAAATTCAAAATCTAACATTGTATAGATCAAAGACAAAACTAATGGAAATTACGGACAAAAATGAAATACTAACCATAATAGAAAACGTACACCTTCGTAACAATCACAGAGGCATACAAGAAATATTTCTCGAATTGAAGAATAAAGTTTTTTACCCTAAATTATTTAAAATAATAACMAAAGTCATTAATAATTGTTCAATTTGTAAAATAGCAAAACACGACAGAAATCCAGTTAAACATCCTTATCAAATAACAGAAACTCCAAAGTATTTCAACGACCTAGTCCACATAGATATTTGGTTTCCATACAGAAATRTAAYGTATCYCACAACAATAGATAAATTTTCAAAATACGCAACGTTCCATAAACTTAACGACAGGAACTGGATTGCGATCTTGGCAGCTTTGAAGCAACGTATACAATTTTTRGGCAAAATGCGGAAACTAGTATTTGATAACGAACGCTGTATATTGCACAGCGCAGTAARATTGTTTTTGGAAGAGGAAAACATTGCGACACATGTAACCACCGCATGGCAGAAAACAGGTAACGCTGACATCGAACGTTTACACGGTACTCTAAATGAACATTTAAGAATAATAGAAACATATAAAAGCAATAAGACAGTAGAGTTAAGTGACAAACTTTTCAAAATATTTAACTCGTACAATAACACAATACATTSAACAACAAAAATGCGGCCAATTGATTTTATAATTAAAAATTATGACAAAGAATCGATTCAGAACTTATCTAGAAAATACGAAGAAGAAAAAATTGAAAGAAGCAATCAGCTTAACAAAAAGAGGCACCATGAGTCAACTCAGTTGGATAACGTAGTAGTTAACAGACAAATTGCAAAGAATACACCTATGTAAATACAAAAAATTTGATAAATATGAGCGTCAAGGTAATTATGTAATAGACACATCAAATAAAAGACGAACGAAATATTATAAAACACAATTGAAACGCAAATACAAATTCCAAAATGAATGAAGAGAAAATTTATGACAAATGAAACACAAAAAAAAAAAAAAATGTTTAAAAGTAAATGTATGAATTATAAATCAATTAAAGAATTTTATGTAATATGAATAATTTGCAGAGACGCAAATTTCTTAAGGGTGGAGGTGTTATGTATCCAGATATTCCCCTCACCCTACACACCATATTCCGTACGCTTCCCAACGCTTAATCTCTATTTCTCCTTGTCTCCCATCTCCCATTGCAATAATTATCATCTCGTCCACTTCACTCAATGTAACTAGAATAAGTTAGTTCGATTTTTGAATTGCTGAAATAAAGAACTCGCTTCACATACTTAACTATATTAAAAGCCGATACCCTCAAAAACTAGTCGAAGATATTAGTAAAGAATATGAATAGGAGAACATCTTTAAAAACGAGAGAGCCACACTGATAAGGTCCAATCAGTTTGTTGACGGTGGGCTTTAAGCGGGTAATTGCTATTCGAAATTCTTCATGGTCGGTCAATGGAACGTCTGCTGCATCGTCATCGCTTGGGGGATCGGGTTCGCTTTCTCCTGACGTTGTACTTTCACTGCCATTCATTAGGGTGGAGAAGTGCTCCCTCCATAATTTTGGTATGCTTTGGGCATCGAAAACCTTTGGGGGTTCTACAAGTGTATGCCCTGGTCTTGTAACCTTCTGTTAGCCGCCACATCTTCTTGGTAGAATTTTCGTGCATTACCCTTGTCGGCAAGCTTGTCAAGTTCGTCATACTCACGCATTTCGGCCTCTTTCTTTTTCTGTCTGCAAATGTGCTTCGCTTCCCTCTTCAACTCTCGGTATCGATCCCATCTTGCACGTATTGTGGTCGATCGTAACGTTGCGATATAGGCAGTCTGTTTTCTCTCCACTGCGACACAACACGTGTCGTCGTACCTGTTATTTTGCATTTTCCAATAATCAATGGGTTCAGTTGCAGCTGTACGTAAGGAGCTTGTAATGCCGTCCCACAGTTCCCTTATAACGGTGTATGACAGTACTCGGCGACGGGGTCTTTCTCCCACCACGTATCTTACACCAAATTTGCGCTTCTTTATATGGCCACTGTAGTAAATGCCACAAGGACCTACTCGTCTCAGTCCTTGTCCCGTCCATCGCATTTCTTGGACGGTGGTGATATCAGTCTTTACTCTAACAAGGCCTTACATCAACCAGCTGGGTAGCGGCACCTTCCCAATTAAGGGACCGGACTATCCAGGTGCATGCTCTCCAATCGTATTCAATTCATTTGCCATGGTCGTCGTCAAAAGGGGGAACTCTCATCCAAAGGTTGCTGCTCTTTTTCATTGGGTGCGTTTCTGGCCACTCCCAAGTGAATGGCGTTCAGAAAACTTTCCTCACTTGCGTGAATTTCTACACATGATTCTATATTCTAACTTAATATCGCAGCGCTTAAAGTTCTCTTATTTTTTAAGATGTTATCCTGTTCTTGGAAAAGCAACAACCGGCTAGATATTCACCACGCGCCAAATCTTTGAAAAGATACGGGAAAAGGAAATCGACACACACCAACTCTTCGTCGATTTTGAAGCTGCTTTCCACAGCCAAAAAACTTTAACGCCGCCATGTCTGCATTTGGTATCCCCGCAAAAATAATACGGCTGTGTAAACTGTCTTTGAGCAACACTAAAAGCTCCGTCAGGATCGGGAAGGATCTCTCAGTCATAACTTTGAAGTTGTAAATAATTTCGTCTATCTTGGAACCAGTATAGACACCACCAACAATGTCAGCCTGGAAATCTAACGCAGGATAACTCTTGCCAACAGGTGCTACTTCGGACTGAGTATGAAATTGAGAAGTAAAGTTCTCTCTTGGTGATCAAAAACCAAACTCTGTATAAACTCATTCATTATTCCCGTCTTTCTATATCGTGCAGAGGCTTGGACGATGACAACAACTGATGAGTGGACGTTGTGAGTTTTCGAGAGAAAGGTTCTGCGAAAAATTTATGGTCCTTTGCGCGTTGGCCACGGCGATTATCGCATTCGATGGAACGATGATCTGTATGAGATATATGACGACATTGACATAGTTCAGCTATGCTGGCTAGGTCATGTTGTCCGAATGAACGAAAACAACGAATTAAGAATTAGTTGAAAGTAAGTTTATTATTTTAAATTTTTAAAGTAAGTTTATTTATTTTTAAAGAGTGAGCTAAATCAAATGTTTTGGATTGAGAATTAAAATCGTGGATGGTTCGTTTAACTCAATAATATTAATCCAAGTATTTCCCTACAACTATAGAGTGTAGGTAACTTTTAAACTATTAGTACCGACCAAGATCCTTCATTTGATAGACGAACATCCTTCGACCTTTGGTAGTGCTTACTCATCATCTGCTACATCACCTTTTGCTGCATCTTTTTCCGCCATACCATCAATTTGTGCGGCACCATCTACAGATCTGTCACAAGGATTTCAAATTAGATTTACCAAAGCCTCGAACTCCCTTAGTACGACGAAGAATTCATATGTATTAACTATGGTAGATATAATGCAGGAAATACATATACCGATCCTTTTAGGTACTTCAGTAGGCAAACACCGTTCGACAGACTTACTTTTCCCTGCGGTCCTTGATGTGTTGATTTGCAAATTGTGTTTGGTTGAATGCGCGTAGTGGTTCAGCTGCTGCACTTACTGCTCCAAAACCTTATGAAACTATGAAAAGCACTTTGAATTAGGTATCGTTAGACTTTATGATTTCCATTAATCCCATTTAGCTGAACTAAAAGTAATTAATTAATATCCAATACAGTTAATTGATTCTTAAGACTACTAATAGATTACCCGATCAAAGAGACTGGCTTCTTGAAAATCTTAATATTAAGAAGCCTATAAATATGCAAAAGATTTTATGTTTATGAACGCAGTGCTCTTTAACAGTACGCTTATAAATATGGCTTTCAACATTTTATTGGTATCAATATTTTCTAGTATCATTCCTTTTAATGTCAAGTTTTTCCTTCTGGTTATACCTATAGACAGTAGGACAAACAACTGAGCCTTAAGCTCCAGAAATCGGATTCGGCGCCTTCTCCATGTTCGTCCTTGATCGATGTAAACATATCATTATACTTCCTTTTTGTCTTTAAAGCTTCGTCTTCTTTGCGATATTAGACAATATGTTCCTAAGCACAAGCTTGTAGAGACTTTGCAAGCCTCTGGTTGTGGTCAATACATGTTGCTTTGAATAAAGGCTTTCAGACTCAGTAATATACTAGTATTCAGAACGCACGTCTAATGAACCACAGGCTGATATTTACTCTATTATTGTGTTTGTTAAAAAATTACGGTAGTTTTTTAATTCGCAATTCTTTGTTGTTTTTTACATATATACAAAATTGTATTCACAGTTGGTTTAAAATATGGAGATATTAATATTTGCTAAAAATTGTTTTTTGAACTTTGGTGAAGGTGAATTATGCTATATAAGAATTGAGACTTACACAGAAAATTCAGTAGTTTGGCACATTTCATTTGATTGAGAAGATGAAATTCTTTACGGTATTATTTGTTATCGCTTTCGCGGTTGTCCTGGTTGAAGGTATGTATCGCTAGGTAATCCCTTTGATATCCCTTTTGACTGTTTTGGTATACACAAATTCTAGGTCAACGAGGATTCGGGCGTCGAAGATTTCGTGGATTTGATGGATCTCGTGGACTCCGTGGACTAGGTAATGTTAGAATACTACCATTTGGTGGACGTCTAGGCGGATTTGAACAACCAGGTTTTAGAGGTTTTGGAAGACATGGCGGCTTTGGAGGCTTTGGAGGTTTTGGTGGTGGCGGCTGTCATCGCCGTCATCATCGCTATAATCATCGTCATCACCATTGTCGTTCAACCGCTGCGCCATCAACTTCTGCACCAACAACTGTTGATCCATCAACTGCTGCACCATCGACTGCCGCACCATCAAGTGCCGCACCATCAACTGTTGCACCATCAAGTGCCGCACCATCAAGTGCCGCACCATCAACCGCTGCGCCATCAACTGCTGCACCATCAACTGTTGCACCATCAAGTGCCGCACCATCAAGTGCCGCACCATCAACTGCTGCACCATCAACTGCTGCACCATCAACTGCCGCACCATCAACTGCTGCGCCATCAACTGCTGCACCATCAACTGCTGCACCATC